CCTATTTGTATCAACAACAACAACAAAAAAAGCGCCCTTTTTTCTTTAGTTTATCTTCATGCTCATTGTTTCCTTGTTGTATATCCGCCCGGCCCACTCCATTTACATTTTGCGCCCCCATTGTTCTAAGCAAGCTTCATTCTTGCTCGAAGTAATAAACACTGTTTTATTTTGTCCACCCTCTCTCTTCTTCCTCTTCCTTTTAATGTTCACATGTTTGTTACCTTTTTTCCATGGCATTCTTAGTGCACTGTTTCATTTTGTTTGTCTGCTTCTTCTTCGTCTAAATTGTATACATTCCACTCTCATCCTCCCTCATCATAAACGACACACAGCACGTCTCATCATGTTTTTATGGTGTTTGCCACTTGTACGTCTTTCTTTCTTTCTTTCTTTTCCCTTACATTCAATTCTTATTTATAGTTTTGTTTCTTTCATCTTCCACTCATTTATTTTTCTGTTTATGTTCTATGTTTTATTTTTGTTTTCTGTTTTATTATCCCTCCTCTTTTTTATCATTTTCTTTTCACACATTTTCCTATTAGCTACTATCTATGTTTTTGTTTGAATTCTTGTTATGTCAGCATTTTTTGTTTACAAATAAAACGGTCAGGCAGACAGACAAACAGAGGTAGAAAAAATGTGATGTGTTGTGTGTCATCATGTATTTTGTTATTGTTGTTCTTCTTCTTTCTATTTCCATTCCATTATGAAGAAAAGAAGGTGAATAAAATAATTGCAATTATACCAAAAATGTATGTGGAATTTTGTTTGTGCAAAATGTTGTTTGAGTGTGTGTCGTCGCCCCCCAGATTGTGTTGTTTTTTGACAGCAGCATCATATGTTTTATGCAGATGACAGCAGTGTTAAAAAGAGAAACACAATTCAAGAGTCGACGTTTGTCGTTAAAGCGTTTGTAATGAAGGCAATTCCCATTGAATTAATTAATTCTAATTAAAAATCTTAGAATTTCGATAGAAATAGGAGAAATTTGATATTCAATTGGAAGAATAAAATGTGTTTTATTAAATTTGATGTAGTTTGGCAGTAGTTTATGAAGAGAAAACACAATAATAGGCGTCGGCATTTGTCGCTATCAACATGAAAGCAGATCTTTATTTTAATTAAAAAAAAAGCAGATATTTTTATGATATCATAAAGGAATATTCGTTATCGTAGTAAAAAAATTGTAGATTCTTGCAGTACGGGAACAGACCAAAGATTTTTAATGCCAATTGGGCAGGCCGGATTTAAATATGGATTCAAAAAATTAAATAAAATATTTATTAGTGCTATTATAGGTAAATCTGATGTATTTTTTTTAGTTTAGTGCAGCATTTAGATGAAGTCGGACGAAAATATTTGGAAGCGATATTTAAATTTAATCCGATTTCAGCAGTTATATATTTTAATTCAATACGCTATGCAATATTTTGTGTAAATCGAAGAAACATAGGCTCTTTGGTGCACAATTTAGATAAAATCGGACGATATTATATATGAAGTCTATATCAAAATCTGAACAGATTTCAATAAAACATAACACACGTCATTATAGACTCAATTCAGTACGCTATGCAAAATTTCGTCTCAATCTAACAAACTTTGGGAGTTTGGTACACCATTCACATAAAATCGGTCGAAAATATATATGGTAGCTATATCTATATACATATAAACCGATTTCAACAAAATTTAAAACTTGTAATTCTAGACTTCGTGCAAATGTAAAGAAATATGGGGACTTTGGTAAAATCGGACGATATTATATATGGAAGCTATATCTAAATCTAAAACGATTTCAATAAAATTTAAAACAAGTCAATCTATATTTAGTTCAGTTCGCTATGCAAATTTTCATCCCAATCGAAAATACCTTTGGAAGTTTGGTGTAGCATATACAACAAATCGAATGAAATTATATATGGGAACTATATGTAAATCTGAACCGATTTTCATCAATTTCAATTGGGTTCGTTCTTGTGCAAAATAAATGAGCTGTACCAAATTTCATTCAATTCGGATCATAAATGTGACCTGTACTTTGTTTACAATTTTATATCGGGCGGGCGGACATGCATAATTGAATTTAATAAAGTGAAGAAATACGTTACAGATGTCATGTAAAGAACACTAAGTCATCCAAAGACTTGAGATCAGAAACAATTTCTATGATAAAGTCTAACCTACTGGATCAACCCGAACATCAGCTCTCAATTTGTCGTTAGCCACCCTCCGCATACTAGTTCCTGAATACTGCAAAGTAGGCAGAGTGGCCAAGAATACCAACAGAGGTGAATCATACAGGACGGATTTCACTTATATTGCCTGTGGCAAAGATACTTCAGGCATATGACTAAACTTGATTTTGTCAGGGTATATATTTTTTTTTAAATTTTAAAAGAAGAACTTCCGATATTTTATTATTATTATTTTTTTTTTTTTTGGGATTCTATAAGAAAACCTTCTGGACCTCCATGACAGGACTTAATTTTCTTTTCCAAGAATATCATCTGGTATTTTACACGAATTTATTCTAGTCTTTTAGCTCCTGGGCCTCTAGGGGTAGATCACCTCTAAGAAGGCCTTCTGATTCTGTGTAAGATGCCATTCTGATATTTATATATGATGACCTTTTTGTCTTATATTTTGAAGAGTTTCAGGTCTTCGACGACCTTCTAGTTTCCTATCAAAATATTTGCATGTTGCTGGAGGTTGATAGGTTCTGTGGAATTACTCAAGTCTTTTACGATATAATATCTGGTCTTCTATGAGAAGATGATCTGGTCTGGTGAAAAGATTTTCAGGTCTCCTCCTATGAGATCTTTTACCTTTTATTAGAAAAATTTTGATTCTGATCTATGAGAACACTTTGGTTTTTTTAGGAGAGCCTAGAAGGTCTTATAGAACATAGATATTCTAGTTTACTTCTGGAGACCTTCTGGTCTTCTAGGCTAAGACTTTTTGCTTTGTTCAAGAATAGTTTCTGGTCTTCTGTGAGAGAACCAACAGGCCTTCTGATCTTCTATGGAAATATCACTGGTCTTCTATGAGATAAAATCTGGTCTTCCTTGAGAAGATCTCTGATACAATTTGGGAAGAACTTCTGCTCTTCTATGAGGAGGACTATTGTTTTTCTTTGCAATTATCTTCATGCCTTCTATGAGATACCTGACCTTTTCTTAGAAGATTTTTGGTCTTATGTGAAAAGACCTTCTGGGGTAGTCTAGAAGGTTTTATAGTGTTTTGTGAGAAGACATTCTTGTTTTCTTCTAAAAACTTTCTGGTCTTCATGGCTAAGACTTCCTGTTTTCTTTGAGAAGAGTTTCTTCTATGAGAGGCCTTCTATGATAAGACATTCTAGTTTCCTATAAGAATACCTTATGATCTTCTATGGAAATATCACTGGTCTTCTTTAAGATTATATTTTGTCTCCTATCAAAAGATTACTGGTCCGTTATGAGAAGAACTTTTCTGTGATGTAGACTTCTGATCTTCTGTGAAAATGTGAGATCTCCGGGCTTCTATAAAAATATATCTGGTCTTCCTATGAGAATACCTTCAGACGTTCTGTAATAAAACCTTGAGGCCTTTTTAAAGAGGCCTTCCTGAAACACAAAAAAATAATTTTCTATTGGTTATTCATAGGGGACCTAGAACACCATCGTGAAGAAGACAATAAAAAGACCTTTTGGTCTTCTATGAGAACACATTGAGGCCTCTTTATGGAGGTCCTAGAAGGTCTTCATAAAGAAAACAATACGAAGACCATCTGATCTTCTCTGAAAATACATAGTTTTCTTCCGAACACCTTCCGATCTTATATGAAAAGTCACTCCAGCTTTTTTTTTCGAAAACCTTCTGCTCTTCTTCTTGGAGAAGACTCTGAAGCAAACAAAAAAAAAATCTGTTGGTTTTTTATATAAGAAAACGTTCTGGTCTTCTATGTCAAAATATTGTGGCATTTTTATGGAGGTCCTAGAACGTTTTCATAAATAAAACAATCTGAAGACCCTCTAGTTTTCTTCCGCAGACCTTCAGATCTTCAAAAAGAAGACCTTGCGATCTTATATGGAAAAACATTCTAGCCTTTTTGGAAAACTTTCTGGTTTTCTAGGAGGAGACCTTCTGCTCGTCTTTGAGAAGACTCTCTAAAGCACAAAAAAAATCCATTTTCTATTAGGTTTTTTATAGAGGACCTAGAAGGCCTTCTTAAAAAAGTCAATAGGAAGACCTTCTGGACTTCTGTGTGAGGTCCTAGGAGGTCCTCTTAAAGAAAACAATAAGAATACCTCCTGATCTCATCGAGAAGACATTCTTCTATATTTTCTTCCAAAGATCTTCTGGCTTTCCAGGAGGAGAATTTCAGAAAACACGAAAAAAAATCCATTTTCATCATCGTCAACGACTGCTGCTACCACAAAAATCAATCCCATTGCAATTTCCTATTCGCAAATCATTCAGATGCCATCAATGTAATACCAATACCCATGGATATTATACCACCCAGTAATAGTAGCAGTAGTACAGGTGACAACAACATGCCCACAACTCTGTCGTCCTTCCACACTTCGCCGTTCCATAGACATTCAAATAATTCCATGACCTCCATTAGTGGTAATAGTCTTTGGATTCGGGTTTTCTATAAAGTCTGTATGCCTTCTGTGAAGCATATATATCTTATATGAGACATTTTCACAATAGGGTTTTAAAGTTAATTTCCTGAGGAAATATGCTCAATGTTTTGTTCGGCAACATCCTTGTGGGATATTTTGCTCCTCCCGAAATGTTCACTATGTTTACAAAGTTGTCCATATCCCTATATTTTTTAGAAAATCAAAATAAGTCCTCTGAGATAATTTAATTTTATTCTCTCTTTTCCAGTGATTACATCTTTACTCCCTTCTGGCAATCACAAAAAAAAAAACAGTAACACCCCAAAGGAGATTTGAAGGAGTAGATCCCCCCACCCCAACAAACCAAAAACCAGAGACATTAAATTTTTTTCTTTTCCCTTGGGTGATGAAGAATTACCGCCGCAAACATAGATTCACGCAAGCGTAAAAGGTTTCTACAGACCACAATGAAGGAGATGGTCGGAGGATGTTGCGTTTGTTCTGATGAGCGTGGATGGCCCGAAAATCCACTTGTATATTGTGATGGACAAAATTGTACTGTGGCTGTGCATCAGGCTTGCTATGGTATTGTCACTGTGCCCACGGGGCCATGGTTTTGTCGTAAATGTGAAAGTCAAGAGCGTTCGACGCGGGTGCGTTGTGAGTTGTGTCCGTCGCGGGATGGTGCCCTCAAGAAAACCGATAATCAAGGCTGGGCCCATGTGGTGTGTGCCCTCTATATACCGGAGGTGCGATTTGGTAATGTTACCACAATGGAACCGATCATATTGCAGTTGATACCTCAGGAGAGGTATGGCAAAAGTGAGTAGAACACAAATCTCTAAGGTTTCTTTAAAGGAAATATTAATTCCGTATGTTTTTTTTTCTTTTCTAGACTGCTACATCTGCCAGGAAATGGGTAAACCACATCGCGCCACCGTTGGCGCCTGTATGCAGTGCAATAAATCCAATTGTAAACAACAATTCCATGTGACATGTGCCCAAAGTTTGGGTCTGTTGTGTGAGGAGGCCGGCAACTACTTGGACAATGTGAAATACTGTGGCTACTGCCAGCATCATTATAGTAAATTGAAAAAGGGTGGCAATGTCAAGACCATACCACCCTATAAACCCATTAGCCATGACACCTCCTCCGATTCGGGGTCATCACCGGAAAAGGAGATTGATTCGACCATGAGTGCAACGGCTTCATCCACATCGGCCACCAGCATTAAGATAACAACAAATATGTCCACATCGTCATCATCCTCGTCGTCGAAACAAAGGAAATCTTCGAATGCTACCAAACAGTCATCGTCGTCGTCATCGTCCTCAGCCGCGGCCTCTTCATCAGCAGCAGGAGCTGCTTCATCGTCCGCATCATCATCATCTGGTCCAAATAATCTTTCTAGTTCTTCGGGTCATAATCTAGGCAATTCATCATCGGGAGGAGGTTAGATAACAATTTGTTTTCTTCGATAACTTCCTCTAATAACACTTCTTCTTCTTCCCTTTCAGGTTATGGCATTAGCGGTTCCAATAACTCTCTGGCAATCGGTGCTGGCACCAATTCCTCATCATCTAATGCAAAATCATCCTCCTCCTCGTCATCGGGGGGTACCTCCTCTTCATCGAGTAGTTACAAGGACAAGGATGGAAGCAGCAGCAAGCATAGTAAAAATCCCAATAAACTATCCAGTTCAAGTAAAGACAAGGAAAAGGAAAGTTATTCCTCATCATCGTCATTTTCATCATCGCGGGATTCCCGTGAAAAATCATCAAAATCCTCAAAAAGTAAAGATTCATCCAATTTGAATACAACGGCAGGGGGAGGAACGGCGGGAGCTTCAAATGCCTCCAACAATAATGCATTCTCCTCTGCGGATTCCCATCATTCTCATCATCAAACGGGGGTACAAAATCTATCAACCTCCAATAATTCAGCAACAGGGAGTGGAAGTGGTGGCAATATGACGTTTGGTGGTGTTTCCTCGGCAGCCAGTAATTTACATGGCAATCTTAACAACTCCGCCTCCTCCTCTGCTTCAACGGCTGGTGTTAACTCCTCAAAGGAATCCAATAAAAATCCATTTTCCTCATCGTCATCGTCGACTGGTGCCACAAATCAATCCAATTCCAATTTCCTCAATGAACATCATTCGGATGCCACCAATTTAACACCAATACCCATGGATATTATACCACCCAGCAATAGTAGTAGCAGTGCCACAGGTGGCAACAACATGCCCACAAATCTTTCGTCCACCTCCACTTCGTCATCGTTCAATAAACATTCAAATAATTCCATGCCCTCCATTAGCGGCAATGGTTCAAATCCCAATCTCCATGGCAGTTCATCGTCTCAGCCCTCCTCATTTACATCGAAGAAACGTAAAAGTGATTCTTCGAAATCCAGTAATTTCTCGTCCGATGATGTTAATAAGTAAATATTTGTTGTTGTTATTTTAAGGCATATTAATTTAACATGTTTTTGTTTTTTCCTTTACAGCTCCTTCCGTGATATTATTAAAGATGTAACTGTGACCCTAACACCATTAACCGATTTTGAAAAGGAAATTGAAAAGAGCTCCAAGAAGGTAAGTCGAAATAATGTGATTAATGATAGAATGGCTGGAGTATTCTACCGAACCTAACCTAAATGATATTCAATACAGGATATGTTCTGTATTAAATATATATGTGGGAGCTTTATTCGGAAGCGATCCGATTCCAATGGAATTTAACACACTTTATTATGGACTCAATTTAATACGCTATGCAAAATTTCGTCCCCATTGGGCTAACATTGGGTGTTTGGTGTACCATTTATATAAAATCGGACGATAATATATATGGCAGCTATATCTAAATCTGAACCGATATTAAGAAAACTAAAGACATGTTATTCCAGACTCAATTCAATACGCTATACAAAATTTCCTCTCCATCGGACACAAATATTGGGAGTTTGGTGGGTCACTTACATAAAATCGGGCGAACATATATATGGGAGCTATAACTAAATCTGAACCGGTTTCAATAAAACTTCACATAGGTCAATTTGTAATTAATTCAGTACTCTGTGCGAAATTTGGTGATAATCGCACAAACGATGAAAGTTCGGTGCAGCATTTACATAAAATCGGATGAAAATATATATGGGAACTATATCTGAATTTGGCCCGATTCCAGTGAAACATTACACACTGGACTCAAATCAAAACGATTTACAAAATTTCATTTCAATCGGACAAATATTGGGAGTTTTGTGTGCCATTTATATAAAATCGGATGAAAATATATATGCACAGCTGCCTTATTCAGAGAGCTGTGCAAAATTTTGTGTTGATCGGACAAACCTTGGGTGTTTGCTGCTCCATTTACATAAAATCGGATGAAAATATATATGGGAGCTATATCTATATTTGATCCGATTCCAGTGAAACTTGACACACTTTACTCTAGACTCAATTCAAAACACTATACAAAATTTCGTTACAGTCGGTCAACTATTGGGCCAAATAAGTGGCCGCAAGATTGCTACCTTCCCCAAAGTGGTTCAAGGCCATTCACTGCCTTAATTAGATAGTCAGCAGACTTCTTACTTCCGCAGTTTATGACCCTGGCCCCATTTTAAGGGTAACCCTGTCAAATTGTAACCTTTAATGATCAACCTCATCCTTTAGGGAAATGTTCTTCAGATTCCTATCGAACCAATGACTCGCACTGATACACGTCCATCGGGATCCGTCATGTCAATGATAGCTACTCTTTGGCTATCTGAGGCCATCGATCGATCCATTTGTCGCCACTTAACGTTTTACAGTTTGCTTCGAAGGCTCCTGCGAAGACTTGCCACACCAGGTTCGGCCATGGATTTTCGAGTGGTAGTCCACTTTGCACTTTCATTCTTAGCGGTTATCGGGCATATGAGCCAGACGACTGAAGTTCTACAGCAACGTCGGTTTCTTCTTTAAAGAAGATTTAGCTTGAATCGCAACATGATCCGCTAAAGTTGCCGAGGTAGCTGGAAGAGCTTTCCCTTCCAGCTGACTCGATATACCGGCTTTTTGTGATCCTTTACAGTGGAAATTCGTTGTCCTAACCTTTTTTGGGGGCTTGTCACCTCCGACAAGCCAACGTACACGATGTAGGAATCCTTACGATTTGGAGTTCTCTAGTCCCCATCTGAGGGTAGCCTTTTGTACTTCCTAACGGCTTTTAGGTGTTTCCTGATCGAAAGAAATTCCCCATAACTGATTTTACTTGGGTCTTGGTCGACCCACCGTTGTTCCAATTGCTTTTGCTGTTCCTCCGTCGACGTCATCCTATTCATTGTCATGGGCTTTGAAGAGGTTTTGACTTTATTCGGAACAGGATTAGGATGAAGTTGCCGATGTAGCTGTTTCTTCTGACACGATATGGAGGGTTTTTGTGATTTTGTACCGTGGTAATACGTAGTCACAGCCTTTTTTGTGGGGCTTGCCTCAGTACTCTATGTAGGTAGCCCTTGTGTACTTCCCTATAGCTGATCTTATTTGGGTCTTGATCGATGTACCGTTGGCAAAAGCCAATTGCCCATCGATACGACTTCATATTCAGGGCTCTTTGGATCTCTCACTTTTAGATCTCGTAGTGGAGTTTCCACTCTTGATATCTTTGTCTTCGGTGGTTAGGTCCTGGCTCAAAGACCATAGGAGAGACAGCTAGGGGAGCTTCTGCACACTAGGGGTCAGCATGCTTCCGTTTCATATCTGCCGACTCCTTCTGACATGGAGGTGAGACTCGAATGACTCTCGTCTTGCTCTTCCTTTATGGGGATGTCGTCCCATATGTCTTACGGAATGTTTTCCTGACTCATACGGAAACTGTCGTATTCCCCAATTAGGTTGGGGAGTGCTTCACTTTGTTCTATTGATGTCTCTAAGAACAGTACTAAAGTTAAATGAGAAAGTTGCATGAGAATACACTTTGTACACTGGATGAAGAGTCCGAGTCCAGGTTTTTAAATTGGCGATCTGTTCCCTTGTTGCATTTGAGACTGAAGCTGCCCAGGAAACAACACCTGTTTCAGTCGAGTCCAGGTTTTTAAATTGGCGATTTGTTCCCTTGTTGCATTTGAGACTGAAGCTGCCCAGGAAACAACACCTGTTTCAGTCGAATATTTTTGGGTTCTTTTATTTAAGTTCACGGTTTCTATTCGTCATTGTTTTGTGGAGGACGTTTTGTCAACCACGGCATAGCCTCTTTATCCGATGGCAAGGACTTGGTTACCTAACCTAATACTGGTTGATGTGCACAGGTATCAAACAGTCTCCGTTCAAATACTCTCGGAACCCTGTCTGAAAACCCTTGACCATCCTATCATTAGGGGGTCATAATTCAGGGGAGGATAATATAGGGCGGCAATAGTCGCCTCGTCAGTCCAAGTATCATTGGCACTTCCTTCCAAATGCCTCACCTCATTCGCAGGAACTAAAATTCTTGGATTGTTGTCTTCCGACGGAAAAGGTTTTTTTTTTCAGAGGCGCTGTAAGTGTTGGGTAACTAGATCCCTGATTTGATGGTGTCATTGTTTTGCTGTCCGGAATGTAGGCGATCTATGATATGCTATATCTCACCAATCAGCAGTTGCTTTTAATCGAGACCCTTGGTCCAGTCTGTGTGAGAAATAAACGGCAGTAGTCCACTTCATTGATGGTCTAATTGTATGTGAGAGACATACTACTTCCATGACCAGTTATAATCCCTACAATGGGTTTGATCTCTAAGCAATGATAATGTTCTAGGTCATGATAATACAGGGTACAGGGTATGCATTTGTTTGTAACAGGCAAAAGGAAACGAGATATAGACACATGGTTCCTTTTCAGAATGTACATAGAATCACTTTCTCAGTCGATTTATGCATGTCCGTCCGTCCTTCCGCCTGTCAGTTCGTCCTTGTTAAATTGCAAACAAAGTACAGGTCGCATTTATAATCCGAATTGGATGAAATTTGGAACAGCTCATTTATTTGGCCCAAGGACGAACCCGGTTGAAATTGGGAAAAATCGCTTCAGATTTACATATAGCTCCATATATAGTTCCTTCCGATTTTAAGTAAATGGTGCACCAAAGTCCATATATATCTTTCGATTTGCACGAAATTTGGCAGAGCATACTGAATGGAGTCTAGAATGATGTGTGCCAAGTTTCATGAAAATCGGTTCAGATTTTGATATAGCTCCCATATATATTTTCGTCCGATTTAAGGTAAATGGTGCAACAAAGTCCCTTTATTTCTTTTAATTTGCACGAAATTTGGCATAGCGTATTAAATTAAGTCTAGAATGATGTGTGCTAAGTTTCGTGAAAATCGGTTCGGATTTAGATATAGGTACCATACATATTTTCGTCCTATTTAAGGTAAATGGTGCACCAAAGTCCCTATATATCTTTCGATCTGCACGAAATTTCGCACAGCGTACTAAATTAAGTCTCGAATGATGTGTGTTAAGTTTCGTAAAAATCGGTTAAGATTTAGATATAGCTACCATATATAGTTTCGCCTGATTTTAGGTAAATGGTGCACCAAAGTCCCTGTAAATCTTTCGATTTGCACGAAATTTCGCATAGCATACTTAATTGATGCATGATGTCTATTAAGTTTCGTGAAAATCGTTTAAGGTTTCATATAGTCGGCCCAGTCCGACTTTACTACTTGCCTTACTGGTTTAATTTTTTGTTATTGTATCTTGGTTCTATATTCCCTTAGCCTTATACAAAAACTAAATTTTATTCAAAAATAGTTATTGCCAGTTATAAAAATATTTCAAATTAAATTTTGAGATTTTGAAGAAAAAAATCTCTGCTGTTATCTGGGTTAATTTCTATTCGCTTCTTATGGGGGATGTACTATTTTCGGGTTTCATTGATTATTTCTTTTTTTTTAATACCACATGTGGAGTGAATGTCAATAAAATCACCACCCACTGGCAAACGACTATTTTGCACAATTAATACCCTTCAAGTTGTTTTTAACTTAGTAGCGGAACAGCGGGGAGTAACCACAATGACCAAAATACGTGTAAGAGAAAAATATTTTTTGCGAAATATTTTACACTAAAAGCAATAAAGGATGTATTGTTGTTTCCGTATTTTTTAGGATATTCTGTAACTTCTAAGGAAATCTTGTCCTGAGTACTTATATTTACAAAAACAATTTAAAGTCCGTCCTTCTGTATTCTACCTGATTTTTTATGGCAGTTTAATTTTCCCTTTTTTCAGCTTTCCCCTCCTTTTTTATTTAGAACAAACGTTTTATTTTTTAATTCTGCTGCGTACGTTTAAGTGACATTCTTTTGTTATTTTTATGACGGAAAGAGAGTGAGAGTGTTCTTAGAATTTGATTTATGACCCGCCTCAATAAATGTCACATTTTTTTGCTGACAGCAGCCAACAACAAATTCTGTGCGAACAAAATAACCCAACAGGAGGTAGTCTACTTTCCTTTTGTTAACACGTGCTAATATGTTTATTTATTTCCTGCTTCTTCTTGTTTTTGGAAAAGGTCTAAAAAATCAAGGGTCGGACGATGGCAGAAAATATGTGGGTG